GTTTTTTGAGATAGGGTTTCTCTGTGTAGCCCTGGCTATCCTGGAACTTGGCTAGATAGTTTCCTTTTAAATTGAAAAGTAGATTTCTATTCTCATAGGCTGTACCCTTTTCCTTCATTGAAATCAGTATAAGTATGTGTTTATCTTTAAGGGATGAGCATTTGCATTTTAGGTTATGTTATCAGAAGAGCAACAGGTCTACAAATTGAGCCACTATTTAAATGTTACCAAAGGGGGGGGTGGACAGAAAGAGGCAGGGGTCTTACTATGTATATCTGATAGCCTGTTCTCATCATGTAGCCCAGGCTGGCCTCAAACTTAAAATGCTGTCTACAAAAAACACGGGGAATTATTATACACGTGTTCTACCATGCTTGGCACTTAATATTGCTTTGACCCGAGAAATTTTGTAAGATCAGGATAGGAAGAGTAATCCTAATGCCAGCTCTAAAGTGAATAGTTGATCAATATGCAGGCAAGGCAGACCCTTCATGGATGGAGTGAGCAAGATCTGTTTGGAGGAGAGGAAAGAATGCCTGTATCTGTAGTTGATGGTTTGGATGACCTCTTTTGCCTCTTTTTCCCTGAATTGGCTATAGATGAGATTGTGGCAGAAGAGATTCAATGCTCACATTAATAACAGCATGATGATATGATAAGGTGAATTGACTTCTTCAATGTTTAATTTTCAGTCTGTAGATTATAGATTATATATATGTAATTTTGCTTAGTTACAGACTAGGAAGATTAGTGTGTTGTATTGCAGTGTTTTGCTGATCTGTAGTAGCAAGAACTTTTTTTAACCCCCAAAGTGTTGCTTGGGATGAAACCCAGGGCCATGCCCATGTTAGAGGAATTCTCTAGCATTGAATTACACCCAGCCTCGTAATGCATTTAACATAGTGACACATGGATATACTCAGTTGTAATAAAAGTTTCCAGAAATGGTGTTTACCTATACCATTTCCTGGTTTAACTTTATGTATGTTTTGCTTGCATATATGTCTGTGTGCTGTATATGTGTGCCTGATGTTCAAGTAGACCAGAAGAGAGAGTGTCCAATCCACTGGAACTAGAGTTGTAGATTGTGAACTGCTGTGTGGGTGCTGAGAATCAAACCTAGGTCCTCTGGAAGAGCAACTCAGCTCTCTCTCCATTCCTCCAAATTAACTTTTTTACTGTTGCAAATTGTAATCAGTACTTCTCTATTGTTGTGATAAAGCATGATGACCAAGGTAATTTATTGAAGAGTTTATTTGGGCTTATGGTTTCAGAGAGATAAGAATCTATCATTATCATGGTGGGGAAATGTGATAACAGGTAGGCATAGTGACAGGGGCATCAAGATAAGTGCTCACATCTTAAACCACAAGCAGGAAGCAGACAGAGCAAACTAGAAATAATACCAGTCTTAGTTTTTTTGGCTCTGTATACAAGACTGACCTTGAATGCAGAAATTCACCTAATTCTGCCTTTTAAGTTCTAGAATTTAAAGGTATTTGCTACTACCACCCAGCCAGGGCTTTTAAGAATTTAAAAGACTGGTGCCATCAGGTGGTGGTGGTGGTACAAACCTCTAATCCCAGCACTTCGCTCTGAGTTCAAGGCCAGCCTGGGCTACACAGAGAAACCCTGCCTGGAAAAACAAAGCTCCTCAAATAAGGCCATACCTCCTAAACCTACTCAAACCCATTACCAGCAGGAAATCAAATATTTAAGAGCCTGTGTGGACATTCTCATTAAAAGTGCCACATAAATGCATAGCATTCACTTCTGGTCACTTCTGAAATGATTTCTGAGATTCACAGAAACATGTGCAATTATATGTCAGTTATCTTTTTCTTTCTTTTTCTTTTGTGTGTTTGTTTTGTTTTTGTTTCTCTGTGTGGCCTTGGCTGTCCTGGAACTCAACTCTGTAGACCAGGATAGCCTTTAACTCAGAGATCCCCTCTGCCTCTGCCTCCTGAGTGGTAGAATTAAATAAAGGCATGTTCCACCACCGCTCAGCTATGTCAGTTATCTTTAAAGGCAGGATTTAAAATGTTTGAACCTTTTCATTTTTGTTTGGTATACTTCTCCTGGAGTAATTCTACCACATAAAACAGGGGCTTTTTCAACACCTTATCAGGATGACCACTTCATATTAAATTGCAATTAGTAAATTTTATAATTTAATTAGACATGGTACGAGGATACTTTAAGATACAGCATCATGGGGCTGGTGAGATGAGATGGCTCAACAGTTAAGAACCATGACTGCTTTTCCAGGGGACCCAGGTTCGATTCCCAGCACCCACATGGCAGCTCAAAACTGTAAGTCTAGTTCCAGGGGATCCAACACCTTCACACAGACCTATATCCAGGCAAAACACCAATGCACATAAAATAATAAAAAAAATTAAATGCAGCTTCATAAAAGATCTTCACAGAAGATAAGGGCTCAACTTAGAAGTATTAGAGGCCAGGCCGGGTGTTGGTGGTGCACGCCTTTAATCCCAGCACTTGGGAGGCAGAGGCAGGTGGATCTCTGTGAGTTCGAGGCCAGCCTCATCTACAGAGCAAGTTCCAGGACAGCCTCCAAAACAACACAGAGAAACCCTGTCTCAAAAAAAAAAAAAGCATTAGAGGCCTACTGGGGGAACAAGAGACATCTTACCTGCTATTTGGAGAGAAGATGATGTAGGACTTGTTTCTAGACAATTAAGCCATTCTTTTTGCAAAATAGAAGTGTAGTACAATGTTGGTTCGTGTTCAGAATGACAGTTGCTAATATATTTGAATGTTGGGCGTTTGTTGTTTAGATTGGGTTTGTTTTGTTTTTCAAGAAAGGATTTCTCTGTAACTTTGGAATTTGTCCTGGCACTTACTCTGTAGATCATCAGGCTGACCTCGAACTCATGGAGATCTGTCTGCCTCTGCCTCTGCCTCTCGAGTACTGGGATTAAAGGAGTGTGCCACCACTGCCCGGTTTAGATTGGGTTTTATATAGCCCGGGCTAATCCTTATCCCCCTACCTCTACCTTGTAAGTTCTAGATTGGTTTTATTTGGTGCTGGGGATAGAACTCAAGTTTCATGCGTACTAGGCAAGTTACTCTCCCAACCGAACCACATCTCCTGCCCCTATATGGTTTTCTTACATTGTTTCCCTCTTTTAATCCTAATACAACTCTTATTTCGTGGTCTCTTTTTGGTTTTTCGAGACAGGGTTTCTCTGTGGCTTTGAAGGCTGTCCTGGAACTCGCTTGGTAGTTCAGGCTGGTCTCGAACTCACAGAGACCCGCTTGCCTCTGCCTCCCGAGTGCTGGGATTAAAGGCGTGCGCCACCAATGCCCAGCAATCGTGGTCTCTTTATCATCATTATTAAATAGCTTATTAATAGTTAAAGACAGAATCTAGAATCCAGGAGTTGTAGGCCAGCCAGATGAAACCTTATTTCAAAGATAAACAAAAATCTTATTTCAAAGACAAAACAAAAATTTTAAAAGTTCTTAGATCCATTCAGAAATGAAGCCATAGTTTTTTTTTTATCTATTTTAACTTTAGTTGGTATAAATAGGGTGACACAAATACTTAGAAGGAAACTGAAGTTGGCTAAACTACCCTTTGTAGAGGCGAAAGGGGCAGGAGTGTATGTGTTTGGAGGAATAATTTTAAATGCAAATCTTAAATCATTTCTTTCTAATACTTCTGCTTCTGGACCTGAAATTTCACAAATCTCAAGGGGTTTGTTTGTTTGGTTGGTTGGTTGGTTGGTTGGTTGGTTTTGGGGGTTTCTCTGTATAACAGCTCTGACCTATAAAATTAACTTTGTAGGCCAGGCAGTGGTGGTTCACGCCTTTAATCCCAGCACTGGGAGGCAGAGACAGGCGGATCTCTGTGAGTTCGAGGCCAGGCTGGACCGACAGCCTCCAAAACAATACAGAGAAACCCTGTCTCGTAAAACCAAAAAAAAAATTTAACTTTGTAGACCAAGCTGGAAACTCAAAAGAGATTTACTTGCCGAGTGTTGGGAACAAAGGTGTGCACCAACACCACCAGGCAAAAAATTTTATTTAGGTGTATATGTGCATGGCTTTCAGCGTGTGCCATTAGATTACCCTGGAACTGGAATTACAAGTAGTGGCTAGCTATCTGATTTGGGTGCTGGGAATTGAATTTGTATACGCTGTAAGAAACAGTGCTTGCTCTTAACTGCTGAGCCATCTCTCCTACCCCTAATTTAGACTACTCTTGAGATTGTTTTACAAATTTAATTTTAGATAAATTTCTTCTCAATGAGAAATTTTGTGTATGTATTTTAATGTCTTTAAAATTGTATACTCATTTATTTTTAGATATGGATGTAAGTGTCTGCATATAAATTTGTGCATGTGAGTGCTGGTATATGAGGACAGAGACAAGCATTAGTTTCTCTGGAGCTGGAGTTAAAAGCAGTTGAGCTATCAGACCTGAATAGTGGTATCCAAATCAAAGTCTTCTGAAAAAGTAATATGCAGTTAAGCACTGAACCATCTCTCCAGTCTTTAATTGAATGTCTTTAAATGTCTGAGAAGCCATGATACATATTTAGTAGGTCTGAATTGGTTATGCTTTTATTGGAATTTGTATCTCTGGGCTTAAAGAGGTAACAAAATAAAATTCAACTGGGTATGGTGGTCATGTCTTTAATCCCAGAGGCAAAGGCAGGCTTACTTCTGAGTTTGAGGCTTACCCTGGTCTATAGAGTGAGTTTCAGGGTAGATTGGGCTAAACAGAGAAACCTTGTCTCAAAAACGAAACAGAAACAAAGCAAAGTGTAAACTTCACAGTTTGGAAGCCCAATAACTTTGTTTTATTTTGTGTATTCTAAGAATATCAGTTAATCTTGAGTTTGGAGAAAGGAAAGTGGACGATTTAAACTAGCAACTAAAACTGGAAGTCATAGTCTACATCTAGGGAGCAGTGACTTCTTGGTAGAGAGAAAGGAAAAGTACGATTTCATTCTTGTATCCTTTTACAGCGTGGTACCATGCGACGTCGCTATGAAGATGATGGCATTTCAGATGATGAAATTGAAGGGAAAAGAACTTTTGACTTGGAAGAGAAGCTCCACACCAACAAATATAATGCCAATTTTGTTACTTTTATGGAGGGAAAAGGTCAGTATCATTTTGGTTCAGACCCTGAGCCTCTTGATATAAGAAGTCATTGACTCTGAGAACTGTGGGTTTAGCATCTTTACAACTTTAAAATATTGCCTGTTGAGGATATTTATTTATTTTGTCTCAATGTTCATTCTCTGCTAAATTTGAAGTAGTCTTTCACTAGAATAAAAATGCTACTGGGGAATAAGGCCTTTTTCTCATTTCTTGACTTGGGATTAATTAAAAATAGCACAGGTATTGTGGCACATGCTTGTAATCCTAACACTTGGTAGATAGTGACAAGAGGATCAGGAATGGATAAAGACCAGTCTGGGCTACTTGAAACCTTAGTGAAAGGGAAGAAGGAGAAAAGTACAATGAAATCCCTTTTATGAGGTGGAATTCCTCATGTGTTGTGTTTTGATCCTTAGCAAAAAGATATTGAACATACAACATTCAAACTATTTTGACTGTTAAGAGGCATGTTGATAATTTCTAATTAGGATGTATGAAGTGTCTCATTAACAGTACTACCCTCAAACCCTGATTTTCAGTGTGATTTCCATATTTCCTAAGATATTCTTTTTAGCAATACACAAAAGTTACATGATCACAACTGTATGCAAAGAGTAACAAATGCCATCAATACATTTTTACTTAAAATTTTTCGTGGTCATGCACGTCTTTAATTCCAGCACTTGGGAGTCAGAGGCAGATGGATGTCTTCTAGTTTGAGGCCAGCCTGGTTTTTACAAAGCAAGTTCCAGGATAGCCAGGACTATTACACAGAGATACCTGTCTGAAAAAAAAAACAAACAAAAAATTATACTGTAATCTTTTTACCTTTTTTCAATGATTCCTCTCTAATATTTTTTTCCCCTGTGGTTTCAGATTTTAATGTAGAGTATATCCAGCGGGGTGGCTTGAGAGACCCTCTGATTTTCAAGAATTCTGATGGACTTGGAATAAAGTAAGTGCTTTGGTGCTGGCCTGAGATGTTTACAAAATGGCTGTTACACTGAGGGATTCAGACAGGTTGAAAACCCAGAAAAGTAGCTAGTTGAAAATAACTTCCCAATTACTTTGTGAAGTATGCTCTTGTTTCAAAAGTGATTCATACACTCAGAAATGAAAAGTGTAGATGAGCTTAAAGAAGCTTAAGTCTCTTGAATCTGTTACTCTTAGATAATTGTAACTGACATTTTGGCTTTTTGCCCTCATATACATACATAATTATTTTATATTTAAAAACATTTAGACCAAAACATGAAGATTGATGTTTTTGTAGAGTTCTCCATACTTTTACAAGATCAGGCGCGTTCACGGTGGTATGGCCGTAGACAGAGTTCTCCATACTTTTAAGAAAAGATTCATACTGATTAGAGAAGTAGTGCTTCCCATTTACTGGTGTTTATTTCATAGGATGCCAGATCCAGACTTCACAGTGAATGATGTCAAAATGTGTGTGGGTGAGTAACAAACTTTTGGCCTCTTACAAACATAGTAAGGAAAAACGGAATTCTTCCGATGCTTGCTATTTTGTTGTATACGATAGTGCTGTTATTTTGTTTGGAAATTAAATATTGTAACACTACCTCTTGCCACTTAGACCCTTGTTAAATTGCTGGGTAAACTTGGTTAATCTGAAAGGTGAAAGTCACAGACAGGCTAAATTCTCTGATGCCTGTATTATTCGTTCCCTAATGCTGTATGCTATTCTAAGGACCTGTCACCCATGTATTTCCTGGTACTCAGTAAATCTGTTGTGTAATCAATATCCTTACCATGCCTTTTAAACTCTTTAGGAGGCCTAGATACTCTGTGAGTACTTACCATTTTAGAAGTTCACTTGTTATCCCCTTTTATTTTATTGTTATTGCTAGACAGAGGTTCATGTATTAGGCTAATCTCAAACTCTCCTTGTAGCCAAGGGTGACCTTAAACTAATATTACCTACCTGTCCTACTTTTTGAGTGCTGCGGTGACAGGCATGTGCTACCATACCCAGATTATTTAGAGCTGGGAATCAAATCCAGGGCTTTGTCTATGTTAGGTAAGCATTCTTTCAGCATCTGAGTTATATCATCAGCCTCTCATGTGTTTTGCCTGCATGAGTGTGTCGGACCCCCTGGAACTAGAATTACAGACAGTTTGTAGCTGCCATATGGATGCTAGGAATTGACTGGGGTCCTCTGGAAGAACAGCCAGTGCTCTTAACTAACCACAACCATTAGGAAAGTAAGGCAGTAGACAGCCACAGCTTTCCTGTGTTAGCTTTTAAGATTTCTGTTTATATATTTATAAATCAGGATCTGTCAAATATAACCCTAGCTGCCTTGACAGACTGGCCTCAAACTCAGAGGTTTGCCTGCCTCTGCCTCCCAAGTGCTGGGATTAAAGAATGTGTGCCGTCACCTCCCAGCTATTCCTATGGTTGTTAGTATTCTTCATGTAAATGATCTGTACATCAGAGTTCTGAATCTCTGGTAACACTGAGAGAATAAAACTTATTTTGTTGTGCCCAGAGAGTTCTTGAAGGAAGACATTTACTTTTTATCTTTAATAAAAAGAGAAAGTGTATGCATGTGTGCGTGCTAATGTGCATATGTCCAAGGAGGCCAGAGATATCAGATACCCTTGAACTGGAGCTACAGACATTTGTGAGCTGCCCCTGATGTATGGTGTTGGAATTTGAACCCAGGTTCTTTGCAAGAGCAGTAACATTCTCTTAATCTCTCCCATCTTATTTTTTTTAAGTTGTGATTAAATATAGCATGAAAATCACCTTTTGTAATCACTAAGCTGTACAGTTCAGTGACATTACATCTATTCAGTGTGCAGCCATTATCACTGTCTACTTGCAGAACTTTCTTAATACCCAAAACAAAAGTCTATTAAGCAGTCATTTCTCATTCTCTTCTCTGGCACTCTCCTGACAACTACTGATCTGATGCTTTCTACATCTGGGTTTACTATGTATATTTCATACAAATGGAATTTTACAATATATAGCCTTTCACCTAATTACTTCTCTCACATATTTTCCAGGTTTATTTGTGTGGTAGTGTGGATTAGTACTTCAAATTTTTGTTTGTTTGTTTGTTTTTAATTTTGAGACAGGGTTTCTCTCTGTAGCCCTGGAACTTGTTCTATAGACCAGGATGGCCTGGAACTCAGATCTGCTTGCCCCTGCTTCCTGAATGCTGGGATTAAAGGTGTACACTGCCATTACCCATTTTTATGTCCCTTTTATTGTATAATTCACCAATTTTTTTCATTTATTCATTCATCTAGTGTTGGATCTGGAATTTCTTTTTCTTTTTCTTTTTAATTTATCTTTTACAGTCCAATGCTGGTTCCCCCTTTCTCCTCTCCTCCTGCTCTCTTCAATCTTGGAATTATTTTAACCTTTTAGTATATAGCCTCTTTTTTTTTGAGATTTATTTATTATGCATACAGTATTCTGCCTGCATGTCTGAGAAGAGAGTGCCAAATCTCATTATAGATGGTTGTGAGCCACCATGTTGTTGCTGGGAATTGAACTCAAGACCCTTGGAAGAGCAGTCGGCGCCATCTCTCCAACTCAGCATCTTTTTTTAATGCTACCTAGTATAGTACAGTTTAGTTTTATAAATTGGGCAACAAGCTCGCTGTTTTGTCTTTTTGGTTAGGTTCTCACTGTGTATCTCTGGCTTGAAACTCTGTAGATCAGGTGACCTCATTTATAGAGATTTGCCTGCCTCTACTGAGCGCTGGGATTAAAGTTGTTCACCAGTACTCTACAACATGCTATGTTTTGTTGTTGTTAATGGTTGAAGGAGACTGACATGGAACTTCATGTCTACATAGTAACTTTATCAGATTGTAAATATGGAATAAATGTAAAGAGGGCTTATATTAGAAAAAATATTGACAAGATTAGAGAAACAAGCTGTTAAACTGAAGGATAGAAATTTAAACTGCTGGTATTCAGTAACTAGAGGATCCTTACCTCATATTATTAATTTTTTTTGTTTTGTTTTGTTTTTCCAGACAGGGTTTCTCTGTATTGTTTTGGAGGCTGTCCTTGAACTCACTCTGTAGGCCAAGCTGGCCTCGAACTCACAGAGATCCGCCTGCCTCTGTCTCCCAAGTGCTGGGATTAAAGGCGTGCGCCATCAACTCCCGGCCTCATATTATTAATTTTTAAACTATTTATTTGGCTTTTCAGAACAGGGTTTTTGTGTAACAGACCAGACTGGCCTTAAACTCACAGAGATATGCTTGCCTCTGCCTCCTGAGTGCCAGAACTGAAGGCATGTGCTACCACCGCCCAGCCTTTAACTGACATTCTTGAGACAGATTAGGTCAGTCTTTAAACTGTCACTGAAGCAGTATATCTTAGTCTTTTGTCTTGAAAGTTACCTGATTCCTGTTTTATCACTTGTGAAATAAATATTGACATTTTACTGTGTATAATTGTAGGATTATGTGAGGTATTGAATAAAAGATTCAGGACTTGACAGTGTAATAAACATGGCCTAGATGGTAATGGGTGTTTCTAACCTTGCCTGTTGTCCTTTTCATTCTCTGATGTGGTTATGATCATCCTCAAGTAATTTCCTTGCATATTACTAATTACCTTAAGTAAGAAAGGTTAGTTCATTTTGACTTGTGTTTTGTATTTGAGTAACTGTGACTTCTTTCATGTAGGGAGTCGTCGGATGGTAGATGTCATGGATGTGAACACACAGAAGGGCATTGAAATGACCATGGCTCAATGGACACGATACTATGAGACCCCAGAGGAGGAGCGAGAGAAACTCTATAATGTCATCAGCCTAGAATTTAGCCACACCAGGCTTGAGAACATGGTGCAGCGACCTTCCACGGTTAGTCATTATTATTTTCCCACATTCTTATTTTCACCAGAAGGTCTTTATATTGGGAGAAGTTTTGTATCTTTGCACATGCCAAGATTAAGCTAAATGTGAAAAAGAGTATTGGATAATGGTAACTTCGATTTTTAAAAGACTTCATTCTCCGAAATCAGTTAATTTTTATTAGAATCATTCTGATTTATATCACCAAGAACTTAATTTGGGAATTTGACCTTTGTGTGATAGAGAAGAATCTTAAAATGTTACTAGGAAATTTGCTTAAGGAATTTCTGTCCTGTAGGTTTATGTTTGCTAAGAAACTTAAAGGAATTTTGGGGTGGGGTGGGGATTGTGCCGTGTGTGATGGCATAGGCCTTCAATCCTAGCACACAAAAGACAGAGGCAGGTGAATCTCTGAGTTTGAGGCCCGTCTTGTCCTCATAGCAAGTTCTAGAATAGCATGTTCTGCATAAGATAGAACCTGTCTCTGATGATGATGATGATGATGATGATGATGATGATGATGATGATAGTAATAATTAAAATAAAAGAATCTAAGGGAAAACTGGTTTACAGCAAGGTAAATTTTGTAATCCCAGCCCATCCACTTCTCCAGGTAAGCATTTTATGTAACAGGTTGTTCAAGTAGGTAACTAGTAGTGATAGATGATTTGGTTTCATTTGTTTTTGATATTCTAGTCTCTTGACTAGAATTTTTATTTTATTTATCTTTTGGTAAAGTGGCTGCTATCTTCTTAATGTTGAGGAAACTATTGGGGAAGTGGAATTGGCTTCAATTTTGGAATGTGTCTATATATAGGCCTTTCACTTAAAAATAGCTGGGCAGAGTGATGTGCATACTTGTAATCCAGTCCCAGCATGTATGAACTAGAGGCAAAAGGATGGGGTTCAAGGTCATCTTCAGTTAAGTGAGATGCCATCTGAAAAACAAAACAAAAAAACCTTGCTGTTCCTGGTGACATGAGGAGGCGAAGGCAGGTAGATCTCTGAGTTCTAGGGCAACCAGGCGTACATAGAGAGACTCTGTTTGAAAACACCAAACAAAAAAACTCACTTAGGTATTCGACCTAGTACAACAGAAATTGGACTGTTTTAGTCTAAGCCAGTATCTCAGTGTTTTATCCTATTTCCGTTAAAAGCCTAATTACACCCTTTGATTTAGAAAATTAATATGTGTTAATTGCTTATAATTGTTGCAGGATATTTGATCCCACTGTGAAACCTGAGATTTCACTACTTAAACATGTTCTTAGTTGTGGTATGGCTCAACCCTAGTACTTACCTTTAATCTAAGAGCTTTCATCTTGACTATTGTAAACAGGATTAAATTAAATTAAGTCAACCATACATAGGTCAAGAGACAGAGCAAGGAACCAGTTGACAGGAAGTTAATATAGGATTATTAAGAAAAAAACATGGGGGGAGTCAGGAAGAAAGAAGACACAGGAAGAAGAAGGGGCTTGTTAAGAGACAGGCTACTGGTTTGTTGGGTGCTTTCTCTGCCTTTCTGAGCTAGCAGGCTCTTCACCCCAGCATCTGGCTCCTGAGTCTTTATTGGTAAAATCAAATGAGATTTTCTTAAAAACAATATCTTTATATGATATATACCTCCTAATAATGAATTTGCAATATTATCACTGTAGTTTATTGGTATGTAACAGGGTGTATGTAGCCCTGTAACAGATCTTATGTAACCCTGGTTGTCCTGGTTGGATTTAAAAGAAGATTGACGAAGAAGACTTCTTTGATGAATAGGCTATTAACAGTAGAATCACCTCCGTCCGTCCGTCCGTCCGTCCGTCCGTCCATCCATCCATCCATCCATCCATCCATCCATCCATCCATCCATCCATCCATCCATCCATCCAGTTTTGAGGTTGGATACCACTGTGTAGCCTGGCTATCCTGGCATCTACTCTATAGACCAAACTGGTCTTGGATTCACAGAGATGTACCTGCCTCTGCCCCAAAGTGCTAAGAGTAATGCTGTGTGCTACTAATCATTTTTGTTTTGTTTTGTTTTTGTTTTTGTTTTACGAGACAGGGTTTCTCTGTATTGTTTTGGAGGCTGTCGATCCAGCCTGGCCTCGAACTCACAGCGATCCGCCTGCCTCTGCCTGGGATTAAAGGCGTGCGCCACCACCGCCCGGCGCTACTAATCATTTTAAATAAAGAATTCGCTAAAAAGGAAACATGAAGCCAAAACATAGTGGTCCATGCCTGTAATCCCAGCATTGCAGAGGTAGAGACAGGAGGGTTGCCTGGGCAACAGAATAAGCTGCTGTCTCATAAACAAAAGAAAACAATGTTGAGGATTATAGTAGCATTGCTTATAAAGGTATTACTTTAGTAGTTCTAGATTATAATTTAAAGATAATTATTGTTACATATATATATATATATATATATATATATATATATATATATATATATAAAGCTTGATTATTAGAATTAGAAACATTTAACCAGCTGGCTAGTGGTGACACATGCTTGTAATCCCAGCACTTGGGAGGCAGAGGCAGACGAATCTCTGAGTTTTGGAGGTCTAAAAAACGAGTTCCAGGACCGTCAGGGTTGATACACAGAGAAACCCTGTGTCTAAAAAAAAAAAAAGAAGAAGAAGAAAGAAACATTTAACCAGGGGCTGGAGAGATGGCTCAGAAGTTAAGAGCACTGGCTACGTTTCCAGAGGTTCTAGGTTCAATTCCAGCAACCACATGGTGACTCACAGCCATCTATGAGATCTGGTGCCCTCTTCTGGTATGCAGGTGTACTTATTTATTTGTTTGTTTAGTCTTTTGCCCCCCTTCCCCCTAAGGATTTCTTTGTGTAGCCCTGGCTGTCCTAGAACTTGATCTGTAGACCAGACTGGCCTCAAACTCACAGACACCTGCCTGCCTCTGCCTCCTAAGCACTGGGATTAAAGGTGTGCACTAACATACCCAGTTATTTCAAAGATTTTAATTATTTTGAGCTCAATTTTGGTAAATCAGGAGCTTATGATGCAGTAGTTTCTATATCCATACTGAATTTCTTTCCTTTCTTTTAGATACTCTGTTTTTTTATTATTGTTAGTTGTTTTGTTGTTATTATTGGTTCTTTGAGACTAGGTTTTTCTTTTCTTTTTCTTTCTTTTTTTTGGGGGGGGGTTTCGAGACAGGGTTTCTCGGCATTGTTTTGGAGGCTGTCCTGGAACTTGCTCTGTAGACCAGGCTGGCCTCGAACTCATAGAGATCCACCTGCCTCTGCTTCCCGAGTGCTGGGATTAAAGGAAGGGGTGCACCACCAATGCCTGGCCTGAGACTAGGTTTTTCTATGTAGCCCTGGCTGTCCTGGAACTTGCTCTTTGAACCAGGCTGGCCTTGAACTCAGAGATCCACGTGCCACTGCTTCCCACCATTGCCTAGTAATACTTTTTTTTTTTAGTTTTTTTTTTTTTTTCTTTTCCGAAACAGGATTTCTCTGTGGCTTTGGAGGCTGTCCTGGAACTAGCTCTTGTAGATCCAGCTGGTCTCAAACTCACAGAGATCCGCCTGTCTCTGCCTCCTGAGTGCTGGGATTGTGTGCACCACCACTGCCCAACTACTACTCTTTTTTTTTTTTTTAAAGAACTTATTTTTAAGGCCAGTTGGATCTACAGAGGGAGATATAGGACAGTCAAGGCTACACAGAGAAACCCTGTCTCAAAAAAACAAACAAAAAATCTTCTTGTATGTGTGTGTGCATAAGTGTGTACATCATGGTACATATATAGGGGGTTTAGTTGTCTCTTTCCACTATGTGAGACCCAGAGTTTAACTGATGTTGTTGGGCTTGGTGGCATGTGCCTTTATTTCTATACCATCTTGCCAACCCAAATCTCTTTATATTTTAGCTGCTCTAACAGTGAGTTTCCAGTTACCATCAAAAACTACCCTTTAAAAATTTTATACATTCACACAGTTTCAACCTACCATACCAGTATTGACAGAAGAAAGTTCCTAGTTGTAAACTATTGTTTTTAATCCATTTTGACCAATATTTTCTTTACAGTCATGTTAATGTAACCATTAGTCGTTGTTCTCATTTTTATCTATTTACAGAATGCTTGTCTTTTGCCTCTAAGGCTCATAGATTTTTAAATTTTCTTTTGTGCTGTGTGTGTGTGTGTGTGTGTGTGTGTGTATATATATATATATTTTTTTTTTTTCTGGGTTTTTCGAGACAGGGTTTCTCTGTGGCTTTGGAGGCTGTCCTGGAACTCACTTTGTAGACCAGGCTGGCCTCGAACTCACAGAGATCCACCTGCCTCTGCCTCCCAAGTGCTGGGATTAAAGGCGTGCGCCACCAACGCCCGACTGTGCTGTGTATATTTAAAGAAGTTGTTTTTTCTTGACTTTGAAATTCTCTGTAACCCCACCTCTTAAATGTCTCTTCCTTTTTTGAAGGTGGATTTCATTGACTGGGTAGATAACATGTGGCCAAGGCACTTGAAAGAAAGTCAGACTGAATCAACAAATGCCATTTTAGAGATGCAGTACCCTAAAGTGCAAAAGTAAGTTATTCACTCCTGTGTACCTTCCCAAGTGTTCTGTGGGGGTCTAAAAGGGATAACAAGGAATAGTCCATCCCTTTCAAGCTTTGCTCCGTGCTAAATCATGAAATCAATAGATTACAAAAGTTGTGAGAAATTACTTAGTACATGGTCTTATGAGTAAGGGAAAAAGCTGTATGTCCTGAAAATGTGCCATAGAATTGCATTTCTTTTTTTTTTAACAGGATATAGTGGCTCATACCTTAAGGCAGAGGCAGCTAGATCTCCTGAGTTTCAAGGCCAGCCTGGTCTAAGCATTGAGTTCCAAGACAGCCAAGAAGCATAGTGAGACTTTAAAACAACAACAAAAAGAAAACCTACTGGGAGTTTATTAGTTGCAAAGTAGGGAGAGTTCACTAGGGAGGAGAATGTCATTTTGGTCAGTAGTTTCTCTTTATCAGTGTACTAATGGTGCTGCTTCTCTTTGGATCAGGTACTGTCTAATGAGTGTTCGAGGCTGCTATACTGACTTCCATGTGGATTTTGGTGGTACTTCTGTTTGGTATCATATCCACCAAGGTGGAAAGGTACGGTCATGTTTGGGATTGGAATTAGAAGCAGATTATGTAATTTGCATGCTTGATATAATCTAGAAACCATTCTATTAGGAAACATCCCCCATTCATATCTAAAGAGATTTGTAGATTCAGTTGCCTTTGTTGGATAGGCCATTGGAGTTTTGGTATTTATGTAGGCCAGTGTCATTCCACCAATGTTTGCCCAGTACTTGGGAAATCTCAGTAGTACTATTTCTAGACTGCAAAGCAAAATTGAAAAGGTGATTCTTGAAGGAAAATATCCTTTTTGTATCTAGAAGAAAAGTATTGTAGAGGAAGTGAACATAAATTTCAGATATATTGACACAAAAATCCAGCAAATTAGGATTCAGCCGACTCTCCCTGCCTAGAGATATTGGTCTGAAATGTGACCAAAGAAAACAATTTCTTTTTTGAGGATTTGAAAAAGTACCTTTAGCCGGGCGGTGGTGGCCGCACGCCTTTAATCCCAGCACTCCAGAGGCAGAGGCAGGTGGATCGCTGTGAGTTCGAAGCCAGGCTGGACCGACAGCACCCAAAACAATACAGAGAAACCCTGTCTCGTAAAACCAAAAAAAAAAAGAAAGAAAGAAAAAGAAAAGAAAAGGTACCTTTAGTCATAAAGAGTTATATCCTATCTTCTCACAAGTTTTTCTAAACATTTTTTCAGAATTGAAATCTAGAGTTACTAGCAGAGGTTTGTAGTGTTAACTGTTAAGTTTTGTCCTATTGATTTTAGTTACTACTTTGAGACAGAGCAGCCCCAGGCCAGTCTCTTAGAATTATTAATTACACCTAAATAATGGGGCTGCTTAAGCCTCTAGCCAGAGATTTTAAGAAACTGCCCAGGTAGTAAGCCCAAGGCCCTTTTTCTCTTGGCATTCTAGATGGGTTCTGGGTTCTTCTACAGCCATAATCCCAGGAAGTACAGATGTTGTGAGACCAGATCTGTTTGTTTAGGTCCTGAGCTACACGTAGTCAAGTCTTTTAGGCTAGGGTAATTGCTCGCCTGTCTTATACCTTCCAGTCCTCTTTATACTTGTTTATCAGTTGAGGGAGACGACTGGATCATGTCAATGGCTGTTAACAGACTGAAGTTTTTTAACTCACAGGTCTTCTGGCTCATCCCCCCTACAGCCCACAACCTGGAGCTGTACGAGAATTGGCTGCTGTCAGGGAAACAGGGAGACATCTTTCTGGGTGACCGGGTGTCAGATTGTCAACGAATTGAGCTCAAGCAGGGCTATACCTTCGTCATTCCCTCAGGTAAGCAAAGTGGGAAAGTATGTAGCTTTCTGGCACTTAGTCTCTTTGCTTTCTTAAAGAAAATTGAGAATGCACGAGGTTCTCTATTCAATCCCCAGAAACACATACATGTGTATACATGCACAATCAGCAACAAACAATGATGTGTTTTTCTTTCTTTATGGAGTGCAATGCAGAGAATGTATATTTTAAAGCAAAATAAAATGAAATAAAAGCAGTGCTTTTATTCTGGCACAGTATATTAGAATTGCCAGTGGTGGCTTCTCAAAGGATAAACCTGTTTGGACTACATGTTAAGCCCAGTAATTCAAAAACTTTACATGTGATGTATCCTCTCTAGTGAAGAACCACCTTTCCCTACCTGAATGGGGATTGCTGAATTAGTGATATTTTAATTGTATCACTAATTCTAAAATAAATGCATATAAAGAGTATAAATTTTCGGGTCCCTGGTCTGTTTGAGACTTCTGGATATGCAGTTACTTGTCCAATACTACTTTGACCAAATACTTAAATCTGGTTTTTTTTTGTTGTTGTTGTTGAAAAGACTACATGAGAGTATTAATGAACTATCTTGCACAGAACGGTATACACAGTTGGTTCTTTAATAAATGGTAGCAGTATTTATCAAAAGTTTCTTGCCCTGGGAAAGTAACTTGATGGTAGAGTTACATATGCATAATAGCGTGTGGTATATCTTTAGCCAAAAAAAAAAAAAACACCCTACACATCTTATGCTGACTGTGGAATCACACAATTATAGTCCTGACTATTTGCATGTGTTTGAGACTAGCATGAACAGCATTTAAGACCCTGTCTTTAAAATAAGTAAATAAAACCTGTTCCTTAGTTATATATTCACATTTAATGTTCACTATTATATGAAATACAATATATCCTAGTTTTAAAGAGAAAATTGAGGCTTTGAGAGGTAAGTAACTTGAGCCTGGGCTATTTATTCATCAAGGTCTTGTTTTCCAAAAAAAGAGAATATAATCTAGAAGATTTGCAGTATTCTGAGGAAAACCATATTGCAGCATGTGCATTCAGTCCTGCCTCCATTTCCTGTCTTCCAGGTTGGATTCATGCTGTGTATACTCCTACAGACACATTAGTGTTTGGAGGCAATTTTTTGCATAGTTTCAACATCCCCATGCAATTAAAGATATATAGCATTGAAGATCGGACACGGGTGAGTAATTTTATATAATAATTTTCTATGAAGATGTTTCCCTGTGTAAGACAGATGTTAGATGTGTATAGTAACACATGTCTCTAATCTTTGTAGTACTCAGGGACAGAAAGATTGTGAATTAGAGGCCATTTTGGACTATGTAGCAAGACTGTGTATCAAAAGAAAAAGACAAGTTTAAAAGGGATTCATGGGGTGAGATAGCTTAGCAGGTAAAGATATCTTGATGCTAAGCTTGATAACAAAAGCTCAAGCCCCAGAACACAGATTGTATAAAGATAGAACCAATACCTGCACATTGCCTTCTAACTTTCATATGCATATACCGCTATCATCCTTCCCCCCCAATACAGTAAATACACCAGGAAGGGATTCATGGATAATTTGTCAATTTTACAGATTTTTCTTTGCGTTAAAAAGCAATTTCCACCTGTTTTGAGGGCATGGCAAAAAAAATTTACTGGACCCTTGTTTTGAGGGACTTTTAACTCCATCAAGTTCTTCATATAGGTATTTGTATAATCTGATTACCAGCTCCCCCCCCCTTTTTTTTTTTTGGAGACGGGGTTTCTCTATTGTTTTGAAGGCTGTCCTGGAACTCTCTCTCTGTAGACCAGGCTGGTCTCGAACTCACAGAGATCCGCCTGCCTCTGCCTCCCAAGTGCTGGGATTAAAGGCTTGTGCCACCAACGCCCGACTTAAAATGTAAATTTTATTTATTTTGTCATGTATGTTAGGTTCCTATACCAAGGCATATGTGTGGAGGTCAGAAGACAACTTGCAGAAGTCAGTTCTTTTGTCACCCTGTCCCAGGAATCTAATTGAGGTCATCTGGCTTGGCAGCAAGCAACTTTATCCACTAGTAAAGGCCATCCTGTTGAGCCCTTTCCTCTCCATCCTAAGTGCCAGGGTAATTAGTTCTCATCAAATATATTGAGCATTTTAGAATTTCTACTTGTCCTGAACTCAAGAACTTTCCCAAAAAGCATTAATATACTTCAAAGACCAACAGAGAAGCACAGTGTGTTGTGTTTAGTTTTAAGGAGACCCAATGCCTATTAGTTTTTTTGTTTGTTTGTTTTTTGTGGTTTTACGAGACAGGGTTTCTCTGTATTGTTTTGGAGGCTGTCAGTCCAGCCTGGCCTCGAACTCACAGAGATCTGCCTGCCTCTGCCTCTAGAGTGCTGGGATTAAAGGCGTGTGCCACCACCGCACCTATTAGTTCTTAGCGCCTCACTCTGTTTTTGCAAGAAATAAACTGACTTTTAAGTGGGAGAGAAGAAACTTAGTTAAAGCCATAATCACATAAGAGATCCAGATTTGGGTCGGGGTATATGCTTCATTGGTTCTATGCCTCTTGTCTAATGATCAGAAAGCGACCTGATGAAAGGTTTGAAAAGGGATTCCTTTTTCATTTTCAGCTCATGAAGACACCTTGACATGGGGGGCCTGAGTTTTTTTTATCTTGAGTTGCAGTTTATAAAGAGTGTGGGTGATATATATTTTCTTTCTTATTATCTTCCCTTGAAAATTGTCATTTTCTCGTTTTCTCATAATTCTTTTCCTGTATAGGTTCCAAATAAATTCCGTTACCCATTTTACTATGAAATGTGTTGGTACGTGTTGGAGCGATATGTATACTGCATAACCAACCGATCTCACTTAACTAAGGAATTTCAGAAAGAATCCCTCAGCATGGGTAAGTGAACTTTTAAGACACACTTGAGCTGTCACTTAGTAGTTACAGTTGAGGAGTTGTTTACTTTTGTACTTGTCTGTTTGAAAATTCCAAGTTGATTTACTGTAATTGAACACTAAATACCCAATTAGATATGAATTACCAAGCTGAATGAAATACTTTATGTCTGCAATTTGACTGGGTTGCTATATTCATTTCCTCAAGATAAGTGATAGCATTGTTCTGTTTTTGTTTTTTATTAACAAATATTAGTTATACATATGGGTTTCATGCATGTATTGTCCCCCATTACCCTCATTGTCACCTACAGATTTACATTCCTCTTCCTAGCTAGTCCCCTTCTACTTTTTGTTTTTTTTGTTTGTTTTTTGTTTTGTTTTGTTTTGTTTTTTGAGACAGGTTTTCTTTGTGTACCAGCTCTAGCTGTCCTGGAACTAGCTTGTAGACCAGGCTGGACTCAAACTCACAGAGATCTGCCTGCTGAGTGTTGATTAAAAGCATGTACCACCAACGCCCAGCCTTGTTTTGTATTTTTTTAAGATTTATTTGTTTATTATGTATACAGTGCTCTGCCTGCATATGTCCCTGCAGGCTAGAAGAGAGCACCAGATCTCACTACAAATGACAATGAGCCACCCTGTGGTTGCTGGGAATTGCACCCAGGTCCTCTGGAAGAGCAGTCAGTGCTCTTAACCTCTGATCCATCTCTCTCGCCACTCTTTTTTAAAGAGAATTTAAGTAATTTTATTTTATGTACATTGGTATTTTGCCCACGTGTATGTCTATGTAAGAGTATCAGAGACCTTGGAACTAGAGTTTCAGATATCTTGTGATCTGCTGTGTGGGTATTGAACCTGGGTTCTCTGGAAAAGCAGCCAGTTCTTTTAACAGCTGAGCCATCATCTCTCTAGGAGAGCCTCTCTGGGGGGGAGGGGTTATCAACTAATATAATTAGACTTATTATAGAAGCATGTGTGAAGGATTATTTACAGATACATGGGCAACCAGTGGCTACACCAATAAGGAAAATTTCTCTCCTTCCCCCCACAACCATTAACTGCCAAAAGATCTTCAGGGAGGATAGGGGTCCCTAGCAATACTTGACTCCCACCCTGTGGGAAGGTGAGGTCTTGTGATCTCCTCCTATCCGTGATGGAAGTTGATGGCCCAGTCTTGTATAGTTATTGTGTATTATAAATAATCATAACCACTGGCATTTCAAGATTCTATGTCTTTCCCTTCCTCCAGCCATTATATGTGTGTAACATAACTATATATCTGTGTGGTAGGTTTAATTAGCCTGATTCTACAAATAAGAATTTGGGGGGGGGGTGTTTTTTGTTGGTCTGTTTGTTTTGGAGGTTTTGTTTTGTTCATTTCAAGACACGGGTTTCTCTGCGTAGTCCTGGCTATCATGGAACTCTGTAGATCAGGTTGACCTCAAACTTAGAGATGGACCTGCTTGGGACTAAAGGTGTATGCCATCACCACCCAGCACAAATGAGAATTTTAACTCAATATTTTTATACTTTTTATAAGTCATACCTTGGACTAGACTGATCAGACTCTACTATCTTTGTTTTTAACCTGTGTGCTTTAATGTTTACCCAATATCAAGAGAAATGCTTAATTGGATAAATGGTAGTTTTTTGTTTTGTTATTTTATTAGATTGGTTTTATGTGTGATTGTATGTATGTATTTGTAACACATATGTTATAGGTGCTTGCAGAGATCAGAAGAGTGTGTCAGATCCCATAGAACTAGAGTTCTAGACAGTTATGTGGGTACTGAGAATTGAAACTGGAATCATTTGCAATAGGAACAAGTGTTCTTAATCACTGAGCCATTGTTCTAGCCCCAACATTGTAGTTTCGTTTTGTTTTGTATTATTGAGGCAGGGTCTCAACTCTAGGTGGCCTGGGATTCACTGTGTAGACCAGAGTAGCCCAGAATTCACAGAGATCCTCCTGCCTCTGCTTCCTAGTACGCTGGGAGTTAAGGGCATGTATTATACTTCCAGCTACTCCAGGAATTTTTCTATTTGCAATTATGGTTTTAGCATTGACCTTGTCTTTTATAACTTTGGGTATGCTGTGTTATTTCTCTCATTAATCAACTGGCCAACTGGCATTTATTTCCTTTGCATTGGTAGATATGGAATTAAATGAGTTGGACTCTGGAAATGGTGACGAGGAAGGGGTGGACAGAGAAGCCCGACGCTTGAACAGTAAGCGATCTGTGCTTACCAGTCCTGTTGCTAATGGAGTCAACCTGGATTATGATGGACTAGGCAAAAGCTGCCGAAGTCTTCCAAATCTGAAGAAAACTGTGTCTGGAGACTCTTCCTCAGACTCTAGCCGGGGATCCCACAATGGCCAAGTTTGGGATCCCCAATGTAGCCCTAGAAAGGATAGGCAAGTACATCTGACCCACTTTGAGCTTGAAGGTCTTCGATGTCTTGTAGATAAGTTAGAGTCACTGCCACTGCACAAGAAGTGTGTCCCCACAGGGATAGAAGACGAAGATGCTCTGATTGCTGACGTAAAGGTAAGCAGCCGTTGACCTGTCTAGGAGAGTTGTTCCTGGATTTGGAGGGAGAAGTTATTGGGATTAAGGATGCCTCAAGTACAGGATAGTTGATAAGTGCTTGTGTCAGTGCTGTTTTAATTTCTAGACTGACATTACCTCACCATTTGGAAAGTGGAAATGTTTGTGTCTTCGGTGTTGACTTAAATGTAGTGTTAAAAACTTGAAGCATACCACGAAAATAAAGAAAGTGTGGAGGGCCAGATGAGATGTTTCCGTGAGTAGACCTGATGACCTAAGTATAATTCCTGGAACCTGCATGGTGAAAGGGGAGGATCAGCTCCCACAATAAATCAACAAAAATGTAGTGAACATAAGGTCATTTGGGACCTGGTGGTATGTATGGCAGGTAAATTCTCTTGAGGACCTTGGTTCAATTCCTAGAGCCCATGTGTACTCCTACATTCCTATGGTGAAATGGGAGGCAGACATAGGAGAACTGGCCAGAAGCTGATTTCCCTCCTTCTCTACCATACCCTCTATATTTTCCTTCCTACCCCAGATAGTCCCCCTTTCTGCTTTCATGTCACAAATATTTTATTACCCTGTGTTTTTTCCTCTTCCCTTTTCCTCTCCTCTCATGGTTTCCTTTCTATCTCATCTTCCCACACACAAATACAGATTCCACATAATTTTCTACAGTTCCATCCATTTTCCTGAAATGCCATTTTATTTTTCATTACAGTTGGATAAAACTTCAATGTGTAATTGTGCCACATTTTCATTATCCATTTATCTCTTGAAAGACATCTAAACTGGTTCTATTTCTTAGCTATCGTGAATAGTCCCACAGTAAAAATGTGTATTCAAGTATCTGTGATATGATAGCTGGGCCGTGGTGGCGCACGCCTTTAATCCCAGCACTTGGCAGGCAGAGGCCAGCCTGGTCTACGAGAGCTAGTTCCAGGACAGCCTCCAAAGCCACAGAGAAACCCTGTCTCAAAAGAAAAAAAAAAAACCAAAAAACAAAAAGTATCTGTGATATGATGACTGGGGGTCTTTCAGGTATATACCCGTAATATAATATAGTACCTCTATTTTTAGTTTTTTGAGAAACTCCCTTGTTGACTTCCCCAGTCAACAGTTTACAGTCCCACCAGCAACATACAAGAATTCCATTTTCCACAGGTCCTCCATATTGTCACTGTTTTGTTTTGTCTTTTGTTTGGATAATTATTATTGTAGGAAGAGGGCACATGTGTGGCTGTGAAATGGGGTTTGAATTCATGATAAGCACTTTTCTGCAATTAGCTCCAGTAATTGGGTGTTTGTTTGTTTTTTGATAGCTTTTTTATTGGGGGGGGTGAAATCTCACAGCGCTTTAATTTACTTTATATTGATGACTGAGAATTTGGACACCTCAAATATTCATTGAACATTTGTTTTTGTTTTTTCGAGACAGGGTTTCTCTGTATTGTCTTGGAGGCTGTCCTGGAACTCGTTTTGTAGACCAGGCTGACCTCGAACTCACAGAGATCTGCCTGCCTCTGCCTCCTGAGTGCTGTTTGTTCTTTTATTTTATTGTTTTGGAGCCTGTCCTGGAACTCGCTCTGTAGACCAGGCTGGCCTCGAACTCACAGAGATTTGCCTGCCTCTACCCAGCCTCCCTCCCTCCCTCCCTCCCTCCCTCCCTCCCTCCCTCCCTCCCTCCCTCCCTCCCTCCCTCCCTCCCTCCCTCCCTTCCTCCCTCCCTCCCTCTTTATTCATCTCCTTCTATCTCTCTTTGAAGCAGGTTCTGTCTACATAGCACTGACTGTCCTGGAACTCACAGGGATCTGCCTGCCTCTGCGTCCCAAGTACTGGGATTAGAGGCGTGTACCACTAAGACTGTCTAGTTCTCCAATTCTTTTTTGTTCTTTCTTCTTTTTAAAAATTTTTTATGTGCGCTGGTGTTTTGCCTACAATATGTGTAATGGTACTCCCTGGAAGTTGAGTTACAGACAGTTGTGAGCTGCCATGTGGGTGCTGGGAATTGGACCAGGGTCCTCTGGAAGAGCAGTCAGTGCTCTTAGATGCTGAGTCATTCCCAATTCTTGTTCCAGATTTTCTTTGGCTGCTGTGTCATCTAACTAGGTTGTTCTCCAACTTCTGCTACTTCAGGAAAGAATTGCAAAGACTTTGGATGACTCTCATGTTTTCTTTTCAGGGTTGACATTTTAATTACATCTTATATATTTAATGTATTAGTAAAAAGGGAGAAAATTACAGAGGTTAAAATGGGGTGTAAAGGGTCTTTCTGTGTATATAGTCTGGGTCTGTCTTGATCTCTCAGTCCTCTTACATAAGCCTCCCAGGTGTTGGAATTACAAGAGTAGTGACAGTTTGATTTTTAAAGATTTGCTAGCCGATGGTGGTGTCTCAAGCCTATGGTCCCAGTGCTGGGGAGGCAGAAGCAGAGGGATCTCTGTGAGTTCAAGGACAAGCCAGCGCTGTCTTGAAAAACCAAGGCGGGGATGGGGGGGTGGATTTGATCATAAGCTAGATATGGCAGTGTATACCTGTAATCCAAGCATTCAGGAAGTTAAGGTAGGGGGAGTGCTGCAAGTTTAGTGCTAGTTTAGTTACAAAATGGGTTTCAGACGATAGAATAAGACTGTATTTCAAATAGGAAGAATAAAACTACTTTGTTGTTTTAGTAAAGGCAGGTGTTGTTGTTGATTTTGTATAATGAATTAAAATGACAGGGCTTTCAGGTTGGTGTGGTCCTATTTCTAAAATTGCTAGTGTATAGCAAAAGAAATTTAGCTATGCTTTTCTTGGCTTCTAAGTTAGATTGCACTTTACACCTTTGAGTAAACAAAGAATTTTTGAATTTTTTATTTTCCACTGTGGTGAGTCTGTTTGTCTGTCTTCCTATTTTTTTAGGCAGTATCTGTATAGCCCTAGCTGGTCTACAGGTTAGCATGGAACTCAGATAGAGTTTCCCAGTCCTGGTATTAAAAGTTTGTGCCACCAAATCCAACTTCATTTTCCTTTATGGTGATTGATTATAATCTCATTTTCTACAACAGCCTCTTTTTATACACAATTGTTGTTTGCCTGTAATAACAGCTACTCAAGAGATAGAGGTAAATGGACCAGTTGAGCCTAGGCTTTTCAGGTCAGCCTGGGCAACACAATAGGATCCCTTTCAAAAGTAAAAAGAAAATACTTAAGCTGATGTCAAAAAATAGCAGATTTAGAGCTCAGAAACTGGTAGTTTCATTTAAGAGAAGAAAATGGGTTAATCCTGTGTTTCTTTAGTTACTTGGAGCTTTGAGCATCACTTAAAAAAGCATTGAGCCAGATCAGTTTCTATGAGTTCAAGACTAGCCCATTCTACATAACAGAGTTCTAGTCCAGCCATGGCTACATAGTAAGACTCCTTTTTTTTTTTTTAAGTTATTATATAAAGGGCTGGAATGGTGACCCAGCATTTAAGAGCACTTGCCACTTTGCCACTCTTGCAAAAGGATCCAGATATGGTTGCTAACACCCATGTTGATTGACTCACTCCAGATCATTCTAACTCTAGTTCCAGCAGATCTTTGTGCTCTCTTCTGACTTGAACTCTGTAGGTGCCTACTCTCATGCACATACTCTACACATAATTAAAAGTAAACTATTTTTTTTAAAGGCCAGGTGGTGGCTGGTGCTCACAGAAGAAACAAGGCTGAATTTGAGGCCAGCCTAACTATGGAGTGAGACCTTGGTCTCAAAAACAAATACCATTAGAACAATTAGGTTGGGTAGGTTTCAACTTACTACACAGATAGGAACTCTATGACAGTGGTGAATTTAGCACTCATGCTTGTGGTTGTGTTGCAGTGGAGGGACAAAAGGAAGCAGTTTACTCTTCAAAAGGAATTGTATCCTGTTATAATCTATCTGCTTCTCAGAAATACAGTGAGTAGGATAGATGAAAGGAAAAATGATGAGATGAAATCGCCAAAGAAATGTCGTTTTTAGTGCTGTGATAAAGGACTTTGAACATCCTAAAATGTTAAGTTTTACAGCGTTGAAGACAATCACAGAGTTAGAATGGGATTACATGGAAAAATAGAACATTTAAAGAGTATTGACATATTAGTAAAGTGAATCAGCATGGATAAGACTAGAAAATGTATGAGTTGCTTCAAGTGCCTGAGAAAATGTAATATAGAAAGCAGCTCTCCTACTGTAAGATATTCTTAGTTTCTAAAGCAACTTAATATATATACTGAATAAAAGGCAGAACATGATGCAGTGTGTATAGTACAGGTCCATTCATAGAATCAAAGTTTGCTCATTACAAAGGGTTTTTGAAAGGTATATCCTAAGCTGCTTTAAACAGGAAAATCTAAGGGTGATGACAGTCAACTGGAAGAATTTAATTGGACTTTATTGCTTTGTTTTTATCTGTTTTGGTCTATTCCCAGTGTTATATGCACATGGAAGAAGCTTTTTGATCAACTTGCCAATCATACTTTGTGACATTAAGTTACTAGAGACATGAAATCTAGTTCTTTCTCTCTAAAATATCTCTATGGAATTGTTAAAATTAGTGATAGAGGCTGGGAGTGGAGCTCAGAGTCAGAGAATGTATTTCCGTATCAGCACCAAAAAATTTAAACCTTAGTGTTAGTGATTAAAAAGTGGTAACATTATTAGTAGTTACATATCTATGAAATTCATTTATTCCAGTGCTGGTTTTGGCCTCTAGTACTTTCAAGTTCATTTGTAGAGTGGGCATTGAAGTAGGCCAAGAAGTAGATACAGTCTGCATTTGCAGGCCCTGTGCCCAAAGCAAACATGAAGGAAAGTGAGGGAGCTTATCCTAAGTATGGAGGAGGTGCCAGTTTTCTCATACCCACTGAAACTGTCCTGCAGATGAAAAAAATTGATTATAATAGCATTCTATAAATGGTAACAGCTTTCAGTTTATAAATTGGGAAACTGTTCTTTGTAGTGCAATAAGTAGACTCAAGCTATTTTGACTTATG